GACTCAGGGCTCCTTTCTTTATCTTCTGAGCCATCCATGATCAGCTGGGTTTGCCTTATGACCAGCTGAGTCTTTCTCTGACTGCTGCCTTTGTCATCTCTTCTCCTTTGCTGATTCTGACTCTCCTGCCTCCCTCTTTCACTTGGAAGTGCCCTTGTTATTACGTTAGGCCCCCCGGATAATCCGGAGACTCTCCCGCTCTCAGCATCCTTAACGCGTTATCTCTACAAAGTCCTTTTTGCCATTTAAGGTCACATAGTCACAGGTTACAGGGATTAGAATATGGACATCTCGGGGGGTGGGGGGTGCATTATTCTGTCTACCGAATGGTCTATAATGATTACATTTGACTTCCAATCAGTCAGTCTAACCAGGAGGTCACGGTTCGATTCCCGGTTCAGGGCATGTGCCCAGGTTGCGGGCTCAGTCCCCAGTGTGGGGCGTGCAGGAGGCAGCCAATCCATGATTCTCTCTCCTCATTGGTGTTTCTATCGCTGTCTCCCTCTCCTTTCCTCTCTGAAATCAATAAAAATATATTTAAAGAAATAATACACAATTATCTTATGGTGCTTGAGGACAGAAGTCCAAAACGGGCCCCACTGGGCTGCAGTCAGGATGTCAGCAGGGCTGTGCTCCCGCTGGAGCAGCGGTTCTCAACCTGTGGGTCATGACCCCTTTGGCGGTCGAACGGCCCTTTCACAGGGGTCGCCTAAGACCATCCTGCAGATCAGATATTTACATGACGATTCATCACAGTAGCAACATGACAGTGATGAAGTAGCAACGGAAATAATTTTATGGTTGGGTCACAACATGAGGAACTGTATTTAAAGGGCCAGAAGGTTGAGAACCGCTGCGGAGGCTTCAGGGGAGAATCTATTTCTTGGCCTTTTCTAGTTTCTAGAGAGGCCACGTGCGTCCATAGACTCAGGGCTCCTTTCTTTATCTTCTGAGCCATCCGTGATCAGCTGGGTTTGCCTTATGACCAGCTGAGTCTTTCTCTGACTGCTGCCTTTGTCATCTCTTCTCCTTTGCTGATTCTGACTCTCCTGCCTCCCTCCTTCACTTGGAAGAACCCTAGTTATTACGTTAGGCCCCCCGGATAATCCAGAGACTCTCCCGCTCTCAGCATCCTTAACGCGTTACCTCTACAAAGTCCTTTTTGCCATTTAAGGTCACATAGTCACAGGTTACAGGGATTAGAATATGGACATCTCGGGGGGTGGGGGGTGCATTATTCTGTCTACCGAATGGTCTATAATGATTACATTTGACTTCCAATCAGTCAGTCTGTTCAGCTCTCAATAGCACCCTGAGCTGCCTTTCGGAAGCTGAATCTTGATTCACACACCCCAAACTTTTTTAAAAAAATATATTTTTATTGATTTCAGAGAGGAAAGGAGAGGGAGACAGCGATAGAAACACCAATGAGGAGAGAGAATCATGGATTGGCTGCCTCCTGCACGCCCCACACTGGGGACTGAGCCCGCAACCTGGGCACATGCCCTGAACCGGGAATCGAACCGTGACCTCCTGGTTCATGGGTCGATGCTCAACCACCAAGCCACGCCGGCCGGGCGATGTGTGTCATTTTAAGTCACCCAGTTGATGATCATTTGTTACAGCAGCGATAGAAAACGAATGCAGACCACCAAGACACATACATTTCAACCTCCTGTTTGTGATCCCATAGGAATGCAAGAGACCACTTAGTCTAGCCCAGTGGTCGGCAAACTCATTAGTCAACAGAGCCAAATATCAACAGGACAACGGTTGAAACTCCTTTTGAGAGCCAAATTTTTTAAACTTAAACTATATAGGTAGGTACATTGTGATTAACTTCATTAGGGTACTCCTAAGCTGGCCTTTGCTAAAAACGTCCTCAATCTGAGGGGTCGACCTCAGCGAACATACCCCCACTTCTTCTAACGCCGCTTCTTCAAAATAGACTCGCCCAGGCTGAAAACCAACTTCTGCGCATGGGCCACGAAGTTTCAATCGCACTGTACGTGCGCGCCCGCACGTGGTATTTTGTAGAAGAGCCACACTCAAGGGGCCAAAGAGCCGCAGTTTGCTGACCATGGTCCTAGGGCAATGGAAACTAAAGAGAAAATAAACAAATGGGACTACATCAAAATAAAAAGCTTTTGCACAGCAAAAGAAACCATC